AATACACTCCCGTCCTTTTTTTTTTTTACCTTTCCCAAAGAATAAAATATCAGTGGCACTTCGAGTACGCTAGCCTCTTAAAATTGTATCTGATAGACAGCAGGGATCTTTATTAACGTATTTTATTGTTAAACTATAGATAGGTTTAAAGTTTATCTGAAGTATTGCCTCTTCAAATAAATGTACTTGTCTAGCAAAACTTCAATAAAATGATTTGTCCTGTTTTTTTTTTTTAAAAAAAAAAGGACGGGAGTGTATTTAAAACTATGATTATATGTACGAAGTAGATTCCATTGAATAAATTAACTATGAAAAAACCTCCTAAAAAAATAATTAATAATAATGGAAATATGTTTGAAGACCTGGACTAGCAGTATAGGAATAAGATGTGTGAACAATATATATGTGTTCCTTAGTTTTCGAATACTATCACTACTATATATGGGTTCAAAAAGAAACTTGTAGCTGATAAATAAGTTACTGTGCAACTCATATGGGAAAAAAGACTTTCGCTTGAGTCCACACTGTCAAATATTTCTACTGAATATACTTATCATTAATGTACTCGAAGTGATGATGTTGATATGGTACCCTATGTTATCTTATAATAACTCCTGACAATATTTATATAATGGCTTGTTAATCATTTCAGATAATGTTATAAACTCCCAAGTCAAGTACTGGTACCACTCAATTTAACTTTACCTAAAGTTGACTCAGTACTACAAAAAACTCTTCCATATCCCTTTGGTGAAATTACTCTCAAGCCAGATTCCAACTATATATGGGAGTAAATTATTTTTGCTAAACAGAAATGAAGAATTCTTTAGGATGGTCATTTACATGATCAATTTGATAGGGGTTTGATAAAAGAAAGCTCCTCTTGATATGGTTGAGTAATTGTTACATCTTTCAAGGTAGGAGGAATTTTATCTCTATAAGAGAAAGGGTTAGAAATAATAGTGTATATATAGCTGTGTAGGTCGATCCAATACAGTACATTCTACCTTATCACATGTCCTTTTTACCCGATGCAATAAAGTCAAGAGACATTCATTAAGCCTCTGTGTCCTAAGAGTTGAGCTAACTAGTCTATAGCTATATGTTTCTTTCTCTTGCCTGATAAGAGTCAAAGATGTAGTAGGAAGCAGTACCCTGTATATATCTACATCAGATCCATGTGACTTATGGTGAACCCTATGTTCTTATGGAGTTGAGAAAATACATTGGGTAAATAAAAAAAAGTTTTGTACTGGGGCGATACTCGACTTTAACGAAATAAACAATAACTTATATTTTGCAAAAGGATTTCAGAGAAATTTCGACTACATGCACAAGATTCCAAGGCGGAATTCTTGGCCAAATATGTTTCTTCGTTTATGCAAACGCCACTGATCGAAGGGTCTATTCCTGTGAGTGAATTCTTTTTCATAATTTTTAATGTCTAAAATCTATGCTGATTTTATGAACTATCTCGAATTTTTAGTCTCATACTCGTTACGACATTCTTTGTCTAATCTTAAGTTTATCTGAAGCTCCACTTCAAACCGCTTATATCCCACCAAGATCAATTTTCCAAGAAAGACCAAATAAGCCTCAATTCAAAGTGGCAGATATTTTTCGGGAGGAACCTCTGACAGGCCTACACTGGCTCGTAAAAAATGATTACGGTGAAGAAGAAGAAGAAGAAGAAGAAGAAACTGATTGGAGTTCTGATGTCCAAGAATGGATTAGGGAGAAACTGGGAAATCGAACTGGTTCTCAGAATAAGTCCAATAGAATCGTTAAGTTATAATCTTCTGAAAATTACACTGATTGAATAGACAAAGGTAGAAGTCGATTAATTATTGTTTTTAAATATCTAGTCTGATCCCATGGAAGATGATACAATGGATGGAGTGAAAGAAATTGTTGATTTGGAAGGGAAATACGAATTGATACAAGGTTTACAGTCTAAACAGTATTGGAGACCGGATTACCGTGATTGTTCGTACCTAGACGGTAGGTTATTTTATGTTCATATATTTATTTAATCAACATCAATTACTCAGTTTATTCCATAATTTGATAGCGACAGAATTCGATCCGAATGATTCATGCACTTTGGGTGAGGATGATTACGTATCTTTATATATGCATATTTATTTATTTATTTAATCATCACGATTATTTGAAAATATTAAACGAGCTCTCATATCCATCTCTTCAAGGTCCTTCACTTGCGAAGCATCATAGTCAAGATGCACGATATTTGTTCTACGATCCTACATCAGTGAAGTATATCACCGAGCTTGATGCCATACGCGAAGTGTTGTTCATGTTATCCGGTCGACCCAGCTTTTTATTCCATCCCGATCCTAATGCAAACGGAAGATACAAAGTATGTGATGCTAACGATAGGACACCTGATTGATGCATTTCCTATTTTTTATAATTATGTATTGAACGAAAAGGTCAAGCTTAATGCATTATTGATGCACCTGACCGAAGGAGCGTTTAAATCCATTCTAGAAGTCTTCTGCAGCCATGGGAATTATTTGTCAATGTTGCGGTCAATTTCCATGAGGTAAATAATCTATCTTGTTGTCGGCGTTTGATGATAAGATATTTGAGAATGATGGTGTTGAATAGTGATATTATTCAACACTCTTTATTATTATCAGGATATGCAGAGAATCTTACTCAATATATGGTCAAACTGCTCAAGCCTTTGCTGCGTCCATTCTGGATATGATTCTGAGGTTTGACAATTTGTTGGCAGATCTCGAAGCTAAATATCAATTGAACAATTCAAAATTTCAAGGTTAATATTGAGTTTGTTAAAATAATTCATTCTTAATTTATTGATAGTTAGGTGTTAACCTCCTTCTTTTCAGGCCAAGACACTTACATTTCTCTATTGCAGCTTCAAAATCAAATTTCTTATCAATTATATGAGTTCAAGATATTATATGAATTTTTCGAAAAATATCTTTTACATGGTATGGTTAAGTATCTAGATGGTTTCTCATATCGTATCATGAGATGCTAACACCGATTCAGATTTCTTTATCCAACTGTCGGATGTTCAAGGACATTCGGATATCCCTTCGTTAAATGCTCAGCAACCGTTATCGGTTTCACCACCTCATGAGTTAGCTTACAAAATTCTTTCGGGTCTTGTCGATGAGATAGTCCGCTACCAAATTGAAGGGAATAAATTAATGTTCTTGATGTTTGGAGGACATCTGGACAATTCATTTGCGCCATTCATCCGTATGATCGATGAGTGGGTTAACACAGGAGTTCTAAACGATCCGGCAAATGAATTTTTTATCGTTAGGTATATGAACATCTGAATTCTTTCGTAGATTCATAAGTATGCGTGTGCGACCAAACCTGGGTGAATTTGTGACAACTGACATTTAGTATATGATTTAAGGGCACTTGATATTAATGCACTTTCTTCAAGTTATTGGTCGGAGATGTATAAGGTCAGAGTTGCGAAAGGCAATTTAGGCACAGAAAGATTTCTTTTGCCTTCTTTTCTCGAACCCTTAGTGGACCGCATCCTGTTTTCTGGAAAGGCGCGGAATTTGCTTATGTCTTTAAAACTAAAAGAAGTAATTATACTATATTATATCATTTTATTTTTTCTTGTTTGCTGTCCTAATTTTCTTCGTAATACATTGCCCCTAGGAAGATACAAATAAGTATAGTTTAGAGTTTCAATACAACCCAAAGGAATTTGATTGGGGCGTCGAATCATTGCCCTTGTTTGATATGTCTATGAGCAACAATAAATTTGATCCTTCGACTGAGTTCCCTTATGATTTCAACCAAGATAGCGGAATTAGAGACACGGATATGGATATTGATGAATTTGATGATATTGATCCTGAAGAAAGTCAAATTAATGATATTGGTCCTGAAGAAAGTCAAATTTCAGGAGAGCTCGCTCATTTAGAAGAGAATCGAACTGAACATTTTAATTCAGAGGAGAGAGAAGCTAACAACATTGAGAAAGGTATTCATAAAGACGATGACGGTGGAGTAAGCAGTTTTAAAAATGAAGAAGATAATCATGAGGATGATGAAGGTGACCTCGAAGGTATAGGTGGAGATCAAAAGGAGGCTGACGAAGGTTATAAAAGATTACTAGGGTTTAAAAACCTTTCAGACTTGAACGACATAGTTGATTTTTTCCCAAAGACGATGTCTTCCTTATTTTCTTTATGGGATCAGCCAACGAAATCAATAGAGAAAACCAAAGACACGGGAAGAATGGACGACTTTACATTATTTCAGCCATTCAATGAGAGATTAAAGGAGAGGTATGACGAATATCTTCAACCAAGATATTTGCGTATAGGTCAACAACTTTACAATGCCTTGGTCGAGCGATGCCATCTTTGGAAACACATACGAGCACTATCCGGACTCTATTTCATGCAACAAGGAGAATCGATGCATCGATTATGCGATGTTTTATTTGACAGAGTTAGTTTGAGTCATCCACGTTTCATTCTCTCGGCACGTTGAACAAGATATTTAATTTACCCTCTTTTGCGTTACAGATAGATAGGAATCAAATGTGGTATGATACCTATATTCTTAGCGATCTCTTTTTAAATATATTGGGAAACTTCAAATGGCTAGATAAGAATTTAATCACCGTTTGGGTTGATGACAAGTCAAACTCAAAACCAAATATCACCACGGTGAAAATATTTGAGAAAGTTGTTGTCGAGTACCATGTGTGTAGTCATGTTTCACTACCTAAATCGTGGAGTTTTCAATTTTTTCAAGTTACTAACAGAATTAGATTTGTAGCTTCCGTGGCCGCTCGATAATATTATACGCAACGATAGTTTGAAGCTTTACAAGCATATTCTCGTATTTTTATTGCAAGTTAAACGGGCCAGATATCTTTTAGAACGCTTATCAATTCCTCGTGTGAATCAAGGACACTCCGAGAAAACAACAGCCATGGTGCTATTTTATGGTTTAAGGATGAAGCTGATATGGTTTTTGAATACGATATGGGATTACGCCATGAGAAATGTATGTTACTTCATTGTCGAGTATGCTCTTTTTCTTTTCTTTTTCCCTCGAGTGGTAATTTCCGAACAAAATTCCTTTTCAGATATTGCTCGCAGAAACGGAGAATTTTCATAAGAAATTGCAAGAAGTTTTTAATATAGATGAGATGATAACTTTACATGATCGCTATATTAAGATATCATATGAACGATGTCTTCTCAATGAGAAGGCATGTGATTTTCCTTGTGATGTTTTTTTCGTAATAATGATTACAATAACCGTTTTTTGTCGTGTTCATAGGCCGTCCCAATCCATAAATCAATATTAAATGTACTGGACTTGACGATTCAGTTTAGCACCCTATATACACGTTATCAGGGGGAAAATGTATCATTCTATGACCATTCACGAGACGAACGATCAAGAAGGCATATCGATGTTGACAACAATTCGGACTCGGATTCTGACTCGTTTTCTATGGATGAAGAAGAAGATCAATGGAACAAACCAGGAAGTGATGGCGTCAGCCCACTTATACCTGCACAGGTGGATTATGATGCGTTTCTCGAAGGTCTAAGTAGAATTGACAGGGAATTCAACAGAAATAAAGAGTTTGTGAGCAACTCTGTTCAGGGGATTGCTAAAGTTGGTGGGTTTTGGTGGTTTGATGCTTTGGCGTTGGCTTTGGGCTAGATTACGAGAATATATAGCAACCGAACCTTACATCACCGTGCAAATTAGGCCAATTCATGGAGTTAATTGTCAAAATGTTAAACTTTTTTTCACAGTTTGTATATGAAAACTTTATTAAAGTGCTATGCAACATGGTAAACTTTTTTTGTCAATTTGTATATGAAAACTTTATTAAAAAGTTTATGCAATTAATCTCTTTCTTCGGCGAGGAAAAGATATGAATTACAATTACAATGAACTTGCAAAGATTAAATGAACCTTGTGTGATGGATTTTTCGTGAAATTAAAGTCGATCCAATAATAGGAAAGAGCCAAAAACTATCCCCGCCTTTGCAAGGATTTTAAACAAAATAAAAAAATGTCAACTATTATTACAAAACGAGTTAAGCACAATGGAATACCACTTTGATCCTACCTAATCTTATATTAAATCGTGTAACTGTGGAGCACAACTCAAAATTTTGTGTACCCCAAGATTTTGCGCCAGAGCTTTGTGACCTAATTTTCGTTTTATTGAGATTTGATAAGAGATTTGGAAGGCAAGAAAGAAGGGAGGAACGGAAATCACAGATGTACTCCAAACAAATAAGGTTAAAGTCCTCATCAAGCACCAACATAGCATGCGAAAGCTTCGATCCACGCAATCCCTAAGTAGCTAATACAAGAGTTTCACTTATTATATTATTTAATTGGACCAATAATTTTTTAATTGATATATTTGATATTATTTGACAAAAAATATTGATTTACATGTAAATTTCTTGATTATCAACTTCAAAAAATTTTTTATAAAGACCCGTAGATTGATAGTACAGTGGTAATGCTTTCAGGGCACAATTATAAGGTCTATAATGCAATATCTCTTAAAGATCAATAAAATTAAAATATCTTTTGATTAGATTTACTGGTCATCTTATAAAGGTCATATTCAATCATTTAGAACACAAAACAAATTAGATTGCATGAAGATAGAACTTCTCTCCTTTTATCAATTAAAAAATAAGATTTACAGTTATATTATTGAAAGGATTGTATGAAAAAAGATTTTGATTTAATTTATTATAAATATTTCATATATCTTTGCTCTTATAGCCTTCTAAAATTTCATTTTCTAACTTGTAATATCTTAATTTGATGCTTTCTTAAATAAAAATCAGTCAATAAAAATGGATCTACTATTATAAATAGTAATAAAGAAGGTAATATGTTTTTTTTTTTTGAAATCTAAGTGAATAATATCTGAAAATATTTGAGAATATTATAACTTTTATTATGTATAAACGAAAAATATTAATAATACAATAGTAAAATTTGTAAGTTCAATACTAACTAATTTAACTATACTATTAATAATTATGTATTAACTACTTAATTTTTAATTAAATTTATTTATTAAAGAATAATATTAGATCTAACTAGAACAAACTATAATAGATTATTATTAATTTGTATATATACTATATATAAATATATAGCTTATATAATATAATTTATATAATACTTGAAGATTTAATTATTTATCAAATATTAAAAATAGTTCTTAATAAAAATTGTATCTAAAATCAAATATGATTAAAAAAGATTTAAATATTGAAACTCTTTCCGCTGACCCTCTGACCACACACAAAAAAGATGTTCGCAAGAAGTTTTATACTTCTTTGCTAATAAAGTCTTTACACTTTCATTAAAACAACTTGAAGTTTGTCTTCATGTATCTCCTTTACCTTCCCTTACTTGTTTATAAACTCCTTTGAACAAAAACTTGAGCCTCGAATGGCCTGAAAAGACTCAAGTACGCACTTCCTCTACTAAGGACAAGAAGGTTCTAGGAAGTGAAAGGACTGACAAGTGGAGTTTCATCTTACAGAGTTAGAAGTGACAAGAAATAGAGGTTTTGTTGGTAGGGGAAGGCTTATTTTCCACCTTCTCACATACTGTCCTGTACCCTTTTAAAGTATCTATCGTTTTTCATGATTTTCTTGAGAGATTTTGCCTACCTCAGTTTGACCATGAATTTCGGGTAGTACAACGTCACCTGGTATCTAATTGGTTGATATGAAGCACGTTAGTAACTGTATATAAACAAGTTTCTATTGGTAACCTCACGTGTTCCGATGACATCGTTGATGATAGAAAGAGTTGATTGGTGCCCCATGTCCATCCCACTTCTCCAATTGGGTTAACCTACAGATCAAGTACCATGAGGCCAATAAGATATGAGCAACAAGTCTCCAGGTGGTGAAAAAGCTGCTATTTATTCAAGCTGAGGTCTTTCTCTCCTATCATTCTGATCAGGCAAAGTTCAAGACCAAGGTCTCCTTTTTATCCCGGTCAGGCAATAAGACTGAACGGTCTCTAGTCTATGCTAAGCTCCAACCCTTTGGTTACAGTTGAGAATGTATTTTCCCAGAAGTTGTTGAAGGATATCGCAATCGACGAGATTCTCCACTGCTCTTCTAATACCCTCCCACTATTGTGAAGCTAAAAGATCTTTGGGAAAAGACTATTTTGAGCAATGGAAGATATTTACCAGTAAAATTCCTTTAACTAGGTGTGACTGCTGGAAGGTATCATACTGAAACAACATGACCTAGTCTCTACTAGATCACATAAGAACCTGGGGTCCATCATAAGTTGTCTGCTTACCATAGGTGGATAAAAAATTATTGCCTAAAGAAGGTTGGAACCAAGTATGTCCTAGAAGTAAAGGTTCCCACTAGGTGATAAGTCTTCTCAGACAATATACAAAAAGGAAATCAAGATTAAGAATGGATAAGTTCCTCAAACGGTCAGGAAAAGAAAGGATATCCTAATTAGGCATTTCTTATTGAGAAGAGGTCTTGAGAAGCAGGTCTTTGGAGGAAGCTAGAAATATTTTTTACTTTTTTACTTTTTCATTTTCTTTTTGTCTACTTAGACATTTTTAGATATTCCCCCTCCCCTTTTTCCAACTCATCTTTTTGTAGTTTTCTGTAATCCAGCGGCTTGGCCAGATATATAGCAGTGATAACCTGCTGGCAATGATGCAGTGGACTAGGAGGGTCTTCACCCAAAGACATTGCAGAGTGAAATATTGTCCCCAAGGCTGAACTTAGAGGCTTT